TCACATTTTGCTGTCAAATAGTATTCTTGTTAAATGATATGGTATATTTTAAAATTTATTTTGAACTCAAGCGGTGCCTCCGTTTTCGCTTGATTCTTCTTCTTCATCTTGACTGGAAGATTGTCTTGCAAGATGTAAAATCGGATCGTATTGATACGGTCTAACATCCATTTCAGGAATGACATCAGGAACACCTTTTACTGCTTCAGAATCCATGAACACAGTTAAGTTGTGAGGTAAAATCAAAGAGGCAGCCATCAGCAACAGGCACATATGACGTCATGTCACGTGATACCCCCTCTGCTCATTAACTGTCGGGTGTTTCCGTAAAAGGCGGAAATTACGAGTACGTTTTTTGTGTTTTTATGGCTATTTTACAAACTTTGTGTTCAATTTTAATCACGGAAGGTGACTTTTAGAATATCCTTTACAATATATCAAAAGTTTTGTTTTGTTCGGATTCTCCTTTAAACCCACTCAGCCACCACAGTGTCCACAAAAATGGAAGTCGGACAACTGATAGTGTAGATCATATACTGTGTGTATCCACAGGGATAGAAATACTTTTTTTTCTAAGTGTGCCTTAGGGCACCAGACAAATATTTTAGGTGTGCCTTTCAGAAATTGAGTATGCCTACATGTTTTTAGAATAAATGACAATGATGACGACCATTTGAAATTTATTGTTAAATATAAAAAATGGGTTTATGAGCATTCAAATATGTATGGTATTATTTAATTTGGAAAAAAATAATTGCTTTGGGGATTAAATGACTAAATGTGAGTTATGTCACTGAAAAATCAGGCGTGTCAAAAGGGCACCGAGAACATTTTTTAGCCATGCCATTTCAATATATACCGTGCCATGGCACACTAATATATGGGGTATTTCGAACCCTGATCCATCTTTACTGAGAAGGTGCAATCCCAAACATAACATATGTTACATTTGACCACTTTCAACATAGCATTGTGTATGCATGGAAATGTTTATGTTTTAGAAGGTCTTCCCAGATGAACCGTCTAGGCACGAGAAGCAATACCATAGTTCCTGCTTCCAAGACACTGTGTTCCCACAAAAACTTCTGGGGAATAATCTAACACTCCTGCAACTATAATGAGAATTTGTTGTTAATTACAAAAAAATACCTGACTGTATGAAATGGGACTGAGCAACTTCAAAAGCTGGCGTGAAAAAGGTAATTGTAACGTGATGTGAAACATTTCCAGCCAATTCCGGTCCACCTTTGGAATCAATGATTGAAAGTATAAAGTAAGTAGATTTCCAACATCAATCACAGCAGTCCACGATGAACATGATACAACAGAAACTATCTTCCATGAGCAAGTAGAAGCTGTTGTACTGACAGTGGTATCCGCGAGTACATGAGGCTGCGTCATCATATTCTTACAAACATTCATACAATTTTCCTAAAAAAATAAGCCAGTTCTGTAATTGTTACAATTGATAAAATTTTGTTCATCAAGACTGCAAGTTCATTCTTACAAAACATGAATATAATTTTCGAAAAGATTGTGTCCAGGTCAAAAACAAAATTCTATAGATGCAATTTCAGATAATATGGAAGCAGTGGCAATCATTTACTTTCCTTGTTCATTCATTTCTAACTTCCTTGATCATACCATTCATTACATTTCCTAAACCTTTTCAATAGCATATCATGCAAAAGCATTAATATGAATCCCAGACAAAAAACACCAACAGTCTTCATATCTGTTTTCATCAATTGCTACTACTTCCTTGCCTCTGTAAAATCAGGTCACATTTGCCTGCAACTGGCCTTCATGTCTTTGACCAGGAATACTATCACAGTAAACATAATTCTGTTGAACATAACACTTCAAGATAACACTTCAATTATTCACTGGATTTGTTCAGTCTAAAATTGGATAAAACTTCAAGATGGATTTTCTCAATCCACAAGTAAGTTCTGTAAAAATACTTTCTCAACCTATTTCGAAGCTGAGCTCATTTATGCTTTAGGCGTTTGAAATGAGCAAGTCTTGTAAATTAGTCATAAAGAAAACATGTCTTGTCTAGACAATGTAAGCACGAGTGTCTCCTCCTACTGGATGATCGAATATAATTCTAGTAGGGAGAAGGTCCAATTATCTTTTCCTCCCTCCGGAGATGAACCCAAATGGTTTTCCATCCCTGTAATTTCAAAATGGCCGACTTTCCCATCTGCTCCAGGCTGGAGTGTTAGATACAAATTAAGTGTGACTGAGTCAAGACCTGATGACAAAATCAAACATTACTGCACAGTCTGCCACCTGTCTCAGAGCCCAATTAGGATTGTTCAAGAAGCCAGATATACTACGGACACCAATACAAGGTCAAGAGCAGCATGTGTCACACAAACTGGAGCAGGAAGTGAAGGTTGCCAAAAATCTCCAGATGAGTGCACATCACACAATTTCAGTAGATCCTGACATTATATTCTAGTTATGACATGTCTGGTAGACGAAAATATGTTTGGATATTCAGCAATAATGGCTGGATTTTAAGAACATGGAAAACAAACAGAAATGTTGCATGTCCTTGTTTAAAGGTCACATGCAACCCAAAAATCAAACATAATTAAAACACAATTATCACTTATTCATGACATATAATATACATTGCTGATTATGAAAAAACATATAAACAAAACTATAAGCGTACAATCGCAAGTCAAAAGTGCAGTATTTTGTACTTGGGTTTACTTCCCAAGAAACGAAGCAGCCGGGATACCGAACTCAGTCAGAGCGGGTTGGTGTGCACTCAAGTTTAACGGCTGGTTCATTTACAGATGCCCTGATGGCTCATTTTGTGTGTGTATATATAGAGATGTTGGGTTTTGTAAATACATGCTCATTTTTTGAGTATAACATTTTGTAATTAACAGACATCATAACATGTCATGTGTACAAGTATCACACCTGCCTGTCTGTGTAATTACATAATGTGACAGAGACCGAACTCGGGCCATAAATCAATGCCTTTTGTTTATGGTGTATAGCCTGATAGGTGTTAAGTTCAAATTGCATGTGGTCAGTGATCGAAGTTGTGTATTGAATATTGTCATTAGCAGACAGGCAGGGAGACACATAGGTGTCAATAAAACAGACATTGAGTTTTGTCTGTGACAACGACATATCTTTATCACAGTTAGAAATTCTGTCAACGCTAAATAATGACATTGCTTTTAAGTATCGAACTGAGAAAGTGAATCGGTAAGAAGAACGTGTGGTGAAATAGACAAATGAAATTATATAAACAGTAAATCGGTAATCTACTGTCATAACGTATAAAAAGCTCGCGCCTGTAAAGTATCAACAAACATTAGAAAAATAGCTCACACCAAAGCCTTCACCAAGTATTCACCAGACAACCCGCTTCCAAGCTGCGCGAACCTATTTCACTGCGCACATGCTATGAGTGCAGCCCAGCTGTTGAAACCACTTTTTTCCCCCAAACGCTGGGGGAAAATTAGTGAATCGTTTGAACTACGATTTCGCGCGTTTTTCTTTCATCGCGTTATTTTTCAACTTTATAAGTTGAATTTGCATTTTTGATGATTTGTTTCGATAAGTCCATACCGAAAGGTATCAGAATCTGCAAAGTTGTGTTTTATGTTTCACGTGACCTTTAAGTGATAACTTGTGACTTGTGGCAGTGATAAGGCTTTGGAAGCATTCCTTACCTCACTTTTAGCAATATTTCAGCAATATCAAGGTGTGGGGGAATACCAGACATGGTCTATGCACATTGCGCCCATGTGGGAAATACATCTGGCAACTTGAAACTCATCATGTTAACTTATTGTTCGTCTGTTTGTTGAACACCGCACTCAGCAATCTTCCAGCTATATGAGTGAGTCAGTGAGTTTAGTTTACGCTGCACTCAGCAATATTCCAGCTATATGAGTGAGTCAGTGAGTTTAGTTTACGCTGCACTCAGCAATCTTCCAGCTATATGAGTGAGTCAGTGAGTTTAGTTTACGCTGCACTCAGCAATATTCCAGCTATATGAGTGAGTCAGTGAGTTTAGTTTACGCTGCACTCAGCAATCTTCCAGCTATATGAGTGAGTCAGTGAGTTTAGTTTACGCTGCACTCAGCAATATTCCAGCTATATGAGTGAGTGAGTGAGTGAGTGAGTTTAGTTTTACGCTGCATGCAGCAATATTCCAGCTATATGGCGGCGGTCTGTAAATAATCAAGTCTGGACCAGACAATCCAGTGATCAACAGCATGAGCATCGATCTGCGCAATTGGGAACCAATGACATATGTCAACCAATCCAGCGAGCCTGTGCACACGATCCCGTTAGTCGCCTCTTACGACCAAGCATGGGTTACTGAAGATCAATATTCTAACCCCGACCTTCATGGGTCTCCAGCTATATTACAGCAGACTACTAACAATCGAGTCTGGACCAGACAATCCAGTGATTGACATCATGAGCATCCATCTACCTAACTACGATGACATGCATCAACCAAGCCAGCGGGCCCGACCATCAGGACAAGCATGTGTTGCTGAATACCATGGACTGGGGATCTTCACTGGGTCGCCATGCTAATACATCAAGTTCTTACAATGAACTTGAAGACAATATTAACAGCTGAAATGATATACTTCCGATACTTTCGCATGGAATCTAGCCAAAGAAAGACACATGAGTTGAGACAATGGTACACAGAAAAACGTATTTATGAAATGAGTCTCATTAACAAATCTATCATTCTTCACTAATGGAAAGGCAACATTTCCCAATATGCACCAGATCAACCTGGTCAGGTTCATCGGGATAATGACATTAATGTGGATTAAGTGGAATAAATAGGTCATTTGTCCTGTAATGACGCTGAGGCAGCACTTCATCAATGGTTGGATCAACGCAATCCAGTGCAATTACACCTGTTTATACCACTGAATCAATGCTATATAACATATTGATAGCATATCAGGACGGAACTACAAGTCTGTACTCACCATGTGGAATTTCGGCGACTGTTTCTGCAATAATAAGAAAAACATGATCAAAAGAGAGCACAAGTATCAACAAAATGCATACACATAAGACGGCAGATATGTTAAAGATAGGCTGTGTGTAGGCTGTGTGTAGGCGGAGTGGAGGGTTTGAAGGACACAGGCAGGTTAATGACAGTGTCTGGATACCATCGATGTAAAGACGTATTCTCACATGACTGATTTATCCCTCCTTTGAACAGTATTCCAGTTATATCATGACGTGTCAGTTTAATGTGGGTGGAAAGTTATGCATTCTTATACAGTTATTCCTTTGCGAAACCCAAAAGCAGGAGCGAGTGAGTGAGTATGGTTTTATACCGCTGTTAGCAATATTCCAGCAATATCACGGCGGGGACACCAGAAATGGGCTTCACACAATGTACCCATGTGGGGATTCGAACCCAGGTCTTTGGCGTGACGAGCAAACGCCTTAACCACTAGGCTACCCCACTGCCCCTCCAAAAGCAGGAAGAAAAGCTGGCAAAACCTAGAAACAACTGAAATGATCCGTGATTCAAACTGACAGTAAGGTTTCTGCCATGCCCAAGGTTAACATGGGACAGGTGTGGTGATGTAGTGATACGACTCTGTATCACCTTGTCAGAAATACAATTACCATTAACAAATAATGTAAGATACTTCATGGATGACAACTCTGGTATTACGCAACATTTGTGGTATATAACCTTTAACTCTTGTCGAGCAAAAGTTTCTCTTCTTTCAAGTTTAAGGATCGCTACTGAAGGAGTTGTCATTTACTCAATACATCCTAAAATGCCACTCAAACGGTTAAATTATCATTAGGATTTTCATAATGTGAGACTACATTTTCTGGCCTGTAAGATTCACCTCTTCCCTCAAAAACTGAGCAGCATAATTGAGAGTCATCACCAAGTTTAGCATAAAATCCATAACAAACTGACCTTGCTAAGAACTAGCACTATACAGACTAGTTGGCGACATTGATGCTGAACATTGTAATGACAGGCTATTTGTTAAAGGTTTAAATACATTGTGAAGCACTGTGATTACTTAATCCTAAAACAATTTTCCCAAATCCCATGAGACATGGCGACGTATTAAAAGGTCATAATGCAACCACATCATTTTATCGCAACACTTATTTTGTAATGGCAGCAGATCCTACCCAGGGCATCACAAATACATCAGACACTGGCTGTGTTGGTTATTGTGAACAAAAATATTTTTAAATCTATCCAATCAGATGAGACTGGGAAAGTTCCCAAGAGCCTCTTCAACACTTGTTTGGGTGTGTCATTTAAATTAAAATCTCACTCTAAAGTGACTTCCTCTATCATTAAAATGTAACAATGGCATTTCTTTTTTTGTGGGAATGAAGTACGTGACAAGAAAAGAAGGTCAGGGTTAGAATTCTACAACTGTCATCCACTCATCGCCATGGGCATCATTATTTGGCAAGTATTGTTTGGTTTTGTTGCATTACTAGAAGCATGCTATGCTGTGTCCGCAGAGTCTCATCATCTAAAAAGGGTTGTAAGATGAAGTGGGCCTACAATGGTGAGGGAAGGAGTTATTTTGGTTTTCTGACAATATCTCCATATTCCTGTACTGTCATGGTGGAGGACAATCCATGAGAAGCAACATCACTAACTACCATCCTATGGCCATAGAATCTGGTTACAGAAGAGCAACTTTCGAATTTTTAGACACAGATCAAACTAGGTCATCATTTCCCAGAACATAATAGACAGATTAAAGAGAACTAAAAATTTGACTTATTTTCTGGATAACAGAACAGTCTCAAGAAAAGAGAAAACAATTTGTTTTAAATATACTATGAAATATTCACCAGGAGTACATCAATAAATGTGATACAGTAAAATGCTAAAAAGTCCTGGATCTAAAATCAGTTACTTGAATGTTCCATTCATTGGCACATGTTGGCACTAAGGTTTTATCAACAAAAATGTTTTCGAAAACTAGTATTGTTGCATCCAGTCGGGATAATGGCTCAGCCTTTGTGCTCAAAGCACTATCTCAAACATCAAACACGAAACCAGTCACTTCAAAGAATAATACAATTTCTCTTGCACATATGGGCCATCTATTGATTACTAAAAACAACAAAATCCCCCTTGACTTGGCCAGTTCACAATGCCTTCCCCCACGACTTGGGATGAAGACAGTCTTTGGGGGCTGTAGCTATTTTATGGGGAAAGGTTAAAGTCAGAGTGATGAATCATGGGTGATTTTTCCCAAAACGATTACCCAGACCGAAGACAAAGAATGTAATGCGGCAGCAGAATGGTGTCTTTGTTCCCTATCTCGTGCATCTTCAAGCTGCTGGTTCACAGGTCACATCAGTCGAATATATTAGGCGCCTCTTGCCAACAATTCCAGAATTCTGATCAACTGGGTATTGGCTACCAGACGAGAACATCAACGGATGACAAGTCATGTAAATACACTAATATTCGCGGAACATAGGAACTCCAATCTCCACGGATCATCAATGTTCCCATATCCATTGACCATTTTGATGAAATAAAAGTTCATACCCCAAGCCAAATGGCTCTTGTATCTGCAGCAAGGCTAATGTGAATGGTCTTGGCCCCATTCCGACACAATCAAATGGTTACACTTGTCGTGTATTGATTATAATTATGTCTCCTCGCTCCCCCCTCCAAATGTTGGTCGGGATGCAGCCGGCACCAACGCTTGTCCATCTGTGCAGTATTACATTGTTGATACAGAGTCCGGTAATTAAATGGATCGTTCCTAGAAAAGTGCTGGAGTACAGATTTGTTTTCTGCTCTTCACGAGAGCGAGCAGTGATGAATTGCAATGATGGCCACACACTTGTCCACAGAACTGAGTCCACATCCTGTAATGGATGTTCCACAAAAGTTTTCTCATATCTGACATAAAAGATCCGAGTGTCATGATCAGAAGTGTGCGATGATTCATAATGATCACAAGAAATTTATTGCAACCCTGCCTCCACCCGCTGAGCACAAACTCATGTCTTTTGTCATAATAATTCTTCAAAATCCCAATAAAAAAACCCAATATTTTCATATTGTAACATTTTCTTATCCATACATGAAGTTCTTTGCTAACAATCTCCTCTTAAATTGATGTACAGAATTAAATCTTCCTTAAGAGAAGAATTATCAGAACATAGTAACACTGCATGAGTAGTGAGAGAGTGAGTGAGTGAGCAATATTCCAGCAATATCAGGGCGGGGGACACCAGAAATGGGCTTCACACATTGTACCCATGTGGGCACTCCATGAGTATATAGTGAGAGTGTGCATTTGAAATAGGCTATGAATAATCAGTACATATATGCTGGCACACCATTCCAATGTTGTGTTGGGTAATACCCCATAAAGCAGCAACATGTCAAGAATCAGTACAAATAGTATTCACAAGAATAGGAGAGAGAAACAGGCCATGAATTGTAGCAATCACAACATGCCATTGCTGTATACAGCAACTGGAAATCAGAGGAAGAAATACCCCAGACTACATGTCTTAGGTGAGGTGAGGTGAGGTGAGGTGAGGTGAGGTGAGGTGAGGTGAGGTGAGGTGAGGTGAGAATAATGCCACTTTGGAAAGTAATCCAGTTACATCACAGCACATCTGCTTCATGTACATCTGCTTCAAGCCCTAAGTGATAAAGACCTCAGATGTGAAACACACGAGCAGGGGTATGCAGCTGACAAACCTGGAAAGAAAACTGGATTCAAACCCACGACTGCATAAATTTGTGGCATGCCTAGGGGGACACATCTATGCACAGACTGGGATACCAATTTTCTTGCATAAATGCAGATCAGTGCACACATGCTGACATTACTGATAAATCAGGGTGGTGGGGTAGTCCAGTGGTTAAAGAGTTTGCTCGTCACGCCGAAGATCTGGGTTCGATTCCCCACATGGGTAGAATGTGTGACGCCTATTTCTAGTGTTTCCGCTGTCATATTGTACGAATATTTCTAAAAGTGTCGAAAAACTAAACTCCCTCACTACTGATAAATCAGTAAAGCAACATATAACTGGTATTTAGGCTTAATCAGCAAAAATACATACATTTATTAGTAATGCTAAATGACCCCAGCAAAACAGAACTTGTATTACTGCCAAATCAGCCGGTCAATATCGAACTGTTTTATTGCTAAATCAGCTAAACATTATAGAACAGTATGCCAAATTTATAGAACTTTTTTACAATTAAATCAGCCAGTAAACATAGAACTCTATACAACATCTATAGAACTGGTTTTACTGCTTTATCAGCCCAGTAACACAGAAATGTTTTGCTGAAATAAATGTTTCACAGCATGATGAGGCAAGCCATAAACCATGAGTTTAGTTTGACGCTGCTTTTAAATATATTCCAGCAATATCACGGCAGGGGACACCAGGAATGGGCTTTACACCTTGCACCAACGTGGGGAATCGAACCCGGGTCTTCATCGTGATGAGCGAACGCTTTAACCACTAGGCTACCCCACTGCCCCTGATGAGGCAAGCACTACTTTTACTGCTAAATCAACAAAGCAGTGCGGAGGTATCTGTTTTTTCTACAAGTACAGAAATAATAGACAAAAACGATTATGTGACTTCATTTAACCTTTCCCAAGTGTCAGAGAACAGACTTGACTGAAAACACCTGTTTGTGTATCACACAAGCATTGGATAAATATGCTTAATAAACAGACACAGTGACAGCCACAAGTAGAATGGACCAGATTATCTCCTGCTAATATTTTCCACACAACTGTCCAACATGGCCGTATCTATTACTTACTGAGTGAATGTTCGAGAATCTTGGCTTCATAAAGGTCACGCATGTCACTTAGCATCAGGCTGTTTCAGTACTTAACTTGTGATAAAAGCTGGACGGAAGATTGTACAAATCTTATCAGGCAAGAAGTTAATTAATTTCTTCCTTGAAATGTTATGCTGTAATATAAGTTGCTAAGAGCCTTTATAT